ATATTTTTTTCTTATTAGACAATATTTCATCAAATTCCATATTGTTTATATTAGCGATGGAAGTACCTGCAGCTGTGTAGGAATTGAGTGGGACCTATTCGTTACGGGTCCTAAATGGGCATCAACACCATCAATCAATTCTAATAAAACTCTCCTAGGAAATCTGTATCTAGAAATAAGGTCGACATCGTCCAACATGTCTAGGGGTTGACCTCTGTCGCGAAATACACCTTCTCTCCGAAGTGCTCGTCGAAGAAATAAGGCTGACGCCATTTTTGTAAAGCTACGTGCCTCTCTACGGTTGCTATAGGGCACCCGTAGATTTTCACGTAAATCTACGCCTTAACGTAAGATACGATCTTTTGTAAAACGCAAAATCGGCATAAGTTACGGATACGTCTACGTTTACGTCTACGTTTTGACTTACGACCTTTAGTAAAACTGGCTACAGATTCCGAAGGTCGAGAGTTCAACCCAGGGCTGGGGCGGAAGTGGGTATCCATGTAAAAGTGAATTTCTTTGTGCTTTATATATATATATATAATTTTCATATATATATATATATATATATATATATATATATACATTTTTTTTTTTTTTTTTTTTTAAGTAAAAATCCAAAAATATCACAAAACATTTACTGCAAGCGCTTTCGCCATGTTCGGCTCTTCAGGCAATTATACAAATGTCAGGTAGGTTACCTGGTAACGTCAAAAGCATAAAGTTCATTGTGACGTCATAATAGATGTAGGTAGCGTTAATTTGGCGTAATGGTTAATGTACAAATCTTGCACTAACTTTCACACATTATACAAATGAAATTTCAAAATATAAAATGTATAGTATCGTTTGCCGTTTTAAGATTAAGTTTGGGTTTAAAGAGGTTGATAAAATAGTCTTCTTTTGCCAAACGTAAATTTTCGTTTTCATTTGGAAGTTTATAAAAAGGGAAAATCTTAAATATTCCTTTGCCACATTTTGCGAAATGTTCTCAACACGGTGTATTACGCACACATGGGTCTTTAATTTGCTGTTTGTGTACACGAACCATGGCATTAAATTTTCCCGTTTGTCCAATATAATATTCTTTACACGTCGGACAGATGGCACAGTAGATGACGTTTTCCGATTTACAGTTCATAGATGAGTTGGTTCAAATTTCCATTCCTGATTTAAGTTGGATTTTATTCACCTCTTCTAAATATGTACACGTTCCGCATCTCGGATCTCCGCTTTTTTTAATGGTTGGAATTTCCTCCTGTGTAGTAAAACGGGCCTTGGTCAACAGTTTTTTAAGATTTGGTGCTTGTCGTTGTTTTAAATATGCCAAAAACTGTACCGATTCTTCATTTGTTTTGAAATTATATGTATATAGTACAAATACTTGTTTCTCTGAAATTCATAATTTATTAACATTCATGTGCAAAATTACATAATGTTATTGTTAGCTATTCAAGCTATAAAGATTGCTGTTTGCTTGAAAAAACATTTTAATTTGATAAAAAAGTGAAATAATCTAAAAAATAGTTTTCAATTTTTAATTTCAGATCCTATAGAGATTAGAGAACTATATGCGGTATATAGCATATTTTAGCCCTTACCAAATGGGGACAATTTCATGGAGTATGCTAAATAGTCTGGTCTAGATTTTTTTAAAAGAAGGCTAGATATAACTTCTAACGGCAAAGCATGATTTATTGGTCTCAGCATAGTTTTTTAACCTATTTCGAGTATGCTGAATCCGCCAAATATGCTGGCCTTCATGAAAATGAAGTTTAAAAAAGTCACAATGGCGAACATCTAATTTTTCTAATTTTCTCTTAATGTCGTTCAAAAAGGAGAAATAATGTGTGAATATCTCACAGAGTGTAATGCAACTATGAAAATAATAAAAGATTGTTAATACTTTTATTTTAACTCAGAAAAATTAGTCATTTCTACTTTAAATTCGAAATTTCTCTGATTTATTTATCGATTTTTTTATATTCTGTTTTGTTTTTTCTATAAATCAGACAACTAAAATTGTATAAATTGTATGAGAAATATAAATCAACAAAACATAAGGAAAAACAAAATTACAAAAATCAGCACTATCACATATGCTGGCTTTTACCATTTTGCTTTTCCTAATCCAGGATCATGAAACATCTTAAGCTTACGTCAAATTCTTTATTGTTATTTAAATGTTGTAGAAGTCAGCAGACCATAATTAAAATATTTTTCATTACTATTTCGCGGACGCATGTTGTTTTCTGCAAATTTAGAAATAAATCCATAATAAATAAATATTTTATATTTATAGGCGATTGAAAATTCAACTTAAGTCTAAGTTTGTTTCATTAACCCGAGGCCTTGCTCGGTATATTTTTCTGAAGTTAATTATACAATTTTAGTACAAATGTAACATGCTTTTAAATTTGCTTTCACCTGTAACTCATTACAAAGAGTGATTTGTCCATTTCTTGACATTTAAAACTATTATTTGTTAGGTCTATTTCACTTTCCAGTTTTAAGGAGAAAAGATTTATCCACTTCTCTAAACTTGTGACATGATATTAAGTCTCCTTCCAAGAAAAAAAAAAGTTTGTATCATCTGTCCTTAAACAGGAAAAAACATTTTCATTGTAGCATTGAACATAATACCTATTGGCCACATCGCTCAACTGAGCACTGCTTGTGGTGAGAAAAGCAAAAAAAATAATCCAGCATTGAAAAGCGTAAATGCATAAGGGGTCCCAATCTAATCCTAAATGGAGGTAGGAGGGATATGATTTTGAATGCATTGAATCTTTATTAAGGATGCTTGCATATTCATTGACTGACTGTGGCTTTTTCTTCCATACGTTTGAAGTTTAATATGGGCCCTAACCTACCCCATGGGTCATGTTTTGAACAAATTTGAATCTACACTACATAAGGATGCTTCCATTTAGATATGACTAGAGATGGCTGTGTTGTTCTTGAGGGAAAAATAAAAGAATTTTTTTTTAATATTCCTTTATAAATCTTTGATCGACTGAATTTGACTCAATGGTTTCAGAGATAAATTGGATGTCCATGATGGTAAGAATTCTTATCATCAAAGCAAAAATGAAACAAAAATAGCAGATACACTTTAAATATTTTATCAGAAAAACCAGACAAGAATCCCTACTTAAAATAGATCTATTCAAGAAAGTTGATCAAGCGATGCCCTTCACTATTTTATTTTAGGAAATGACGTCATTCATCAATTAACCATGAACAGACCGTCTCTATATGTGTCCATTACTCTGACCAATGGCACCACTCTATACCAACAGTACGGTGAATTCTCTGTAAACAACGAGACAGATAACTACAGACTTTACCTGAAAGGACCGACGGAGGGGACCTTAGGTTGGTTGTGAGACAACTTAGTTGGATGAATATATAATTTTCATAGATTTGTAAAATATTAACGATATCAAAAACGCTAGCAATAAATACGTTTGTTGGTGATAGAAGGTCTAATAATGTCATGGATTCAATATCTGGAAATAGATAAGATCACAATCCCTAATAATTATGTTTATGAGGAGACCTTTTTCCTACCTTAACTTTATTCAGAATTTATTTCATCTGTAAATACCTGTAATAATTTTTTTTAAAAATATGTAATGGTTCCTTTTATGATGGATAAGTAAAAAATATGCAAGTAATAAATTAAATATCTCGAACGCATTTCGTGCGAAAGTATTATATCCAATATTATAGTTTAGGGCAGTCTACATAATGGGTAATCATGTAGTGTATTTGTATCGAGTGAATTTAAATCGGTTAGGTAGCCATGTTATCCAACATTTACCCATTTGTGAAGATGAGAGTTACATTGGATAAATTTTCAATCAAATCACCTATCGATTAACTAACACAATGATATTTTGTAAGAAGGAATGATATCTCCTTGCCGACATTTATGGGGTCATATTCCTAATATTCATATTTCTTTAATTTTCATTTTCTTAACATACACAGGTGACAGTATGTTAGATACTGGTAATTCTTGGGTTGATCAGTCTGGGATGTACTTCTCCACCAGAGACAGGGATAATGACATGTGGAGTGATAATAACTGTGCTGCTTACTGGAGAGGAGGCTGGTGGTTCAACATGTGTTACCGAGCCTTCCTTAACGGTCCCTGGTCCCCGGAGTCCTGGGTCTGGCCATGGTATCCTACAGTGGTAGATGGTCAAGAGATAAAAGACACTGTTATGATGATAAAGGCTCACTAATACTATTCAGTGTTGTATTTCTTCACAACAAACACAAACACTGTAAAGCTTTTGGCAGATGATTGGTTTGGTACCATATACAGGACAACTTGTCTTATCCGGATCTTGTTCAAAATTGGCCGGACTAGATATTATTCCAATTAAAACAACATTTTTAAAAGAATCATATTTACGAAAATGAATTTAAATATCGCCTAGTTTAAGACTAGATGTATATGCATTATAACATAAGATTAGGCATGATTTACTACAGTTAGTTTTGTAAGTGAAGGGAAGTTGCATGAAGAGTAGTGCTTTACTTTTTGTGTTTTACAGACCCTAAACCGTGCTACTACACCACTTGCACGGTACGGTTCGGTAAGCTTTGCGAACGGAACGGTTCGCTTTGTGAACGGTACGGTACGCTTTGTGCACGGAACGGTTCGCTTTGTGCACGGAACGGTACGCTTTGTGCACGGAACGGTACGCTTTGTGGACGGTACGGTCCGCTTTATGCACGGAACGGTACGCTTTGTGGACGGTGTAATGTTATTATAATACGAATGTGAAAAAGTACGAACTAAATGATGTACGAGTTACTTTTATGTGTGTCGTTGAATAAACGTTTCCTGTTTTGTACACACGTGTTGTCAGTTGTGAATCCGCATATCCAGCCTAGGGAACCCACATTATAAGACTAATACAAAAACAATACATGGTGTCAGAAGTGGCGGATAGTTCCACCTTCACAAGTAAGACACGGCTATCATGGAATTATGCGGCATTCCCCCACCGATCATGGACTGGTCTAGTTCGAATTTGCGTGAAGCCTGGAAAAAGTTTGAACAACATGTGAAGCTGATTTTCGCAGGCCCATTGAAAGAAAAGAATGAAGAAGAACAAGTCTCATACCTTTTATTGTGGATTGGCGAGAAAGGTCGTGATATTTACAACACTTTTCCAGCATTTTCGAACGACGACATGAAGAAACTACAACCACACTATGATAGATTCCTCAGGTACGTTCAACCCAAGTTAAACCCAATCTTCGCCAGATACAAGTTTAACAATGAAGTACAGGGAACAAACACGTTTGATCAGTTTGTGACTAAACTAAAACTATTAGCAAGGGACTGCAACTTTAGTGACGCAGAGGAAATGATAAGAGATAGAATCGTGTTTGGGATACAATCAGAAAAAATTCGGGAAAAACTTATTAACGTTGGCGAGGCACTCACCCTAGATAAGGCTGTACAGATAGCTCAGGCATACGAGTACTCTCAGGAACAGCTCAAACTCATGGGACAGCAATCGGTACACATACAAGCATTGTCCAAGTCTACACCCCATACACACTCACCTGCAGAGAGAGGAGCGGTAGGAGACCACCCCACCAGACGAAGACGCGATCCACTCTGCCAAAGACTCCGACAAAGTTTCCGTCTACCCCGAAGACGAAGCCATGCGAAAAGTGCGGAAAGCGACATGGAACTCAGGATACTTGTCCGGCACAAGGTCAGAGGTGCAACAATTGCCACAAGTGGAACCACTTCGCCAGTGTGTGTCGTTCGCGATCCGTAAATGACATTAACCATGTGAACTCGAGTGACTGTCTGCAGAAGCCCAGTGAAATGAACAATGTTAATCGTGAAAGTGACAATACTTATACACAGAGATCTGTTGACATTAATCATGATACATGTAATGTGATTGGCAAACTTGTTTCATGAGTCAGATTCAGATTTTAACATTGACAATGTTGATAGCAATGTTGAGCATTATCAAGCATTTATTAACATTAAGCTAGGCCCAAACCACAAAGAGGTTAGGTTCAAAGTAGATACAGGGTCTCAAGTCAATATTTTGCCGGAATCTTTGTACATTGATTTAGCCCCCTATCACACATTAGGCAAATCTAAGATTAAGCTTTTTGCTTATAATGGCCACTCTGTACACCCCATAGGCTATTCTGTTATTCAAAGCAACCTTAAGGGTAAGGACTATAGCATTGAGTATCAGGTCGTACAGACACATTCGCATCCAATTCTAGGTTTACGAGCATGCTTAGATTTAGGCATAGTTCACCTCACTTACTCTATTGTTAAGGTTATGCCCTTCAGTAAGAGTCATGTGCTTAGTCAGTACTCAGATGTATTTCATGGCATTGGTCTGTTTGCAGGAGAATGTACTTTTCAGGTTGATCCCAATGTTAGACCGGTTGTCAACCCCCCGCGCAAGGTGCCTGTAGCCCTACGCGACAAGCTAAAAGTAGAGTTAGACAGAATGGAGTCAGCGCAAATCATCACCAAGGTGACAGAACCAACAGCATGGGTGAACTCATTAGTCGTTACTACAAAGCCAGCATCAGGAAAGCTTAGAGTATGTTTGGATCCCATGGAACTCAACAAAGCCATTATGAGACCACACTACCCTATGAGGACCTTGGATGATATCCTTCCTCAAGTCTCAGGTGCCAAGTACTTTTCCAAGCTAGATGCCAGCTCTGGTTACTGGACTGTTGGACTTTCACGTGAATCATCACTGCTCACTACATTCAATACTCCATTCGGGAGATATCGCTACCTGCGTTTACCATTTGGCTTGAAGAACTCACAAGACATCTTCCAGCAGAAGATAGACCAATGCTTCGAAGGAATGTCCGGCGTTGCTGCCATTGTTGATGACATATTGGTTTACGGGCAGGACCCCACAGGAGCACAATGACAACCTCATCAAGGTGTTAGATAAATGCAGGAGTGTGGGCATCAAGATGAACAAGGAGAAGTTACAAGTGGGAGTTCAGGAAGTTGAGTATTTTGGCCACATCCTCTCAGCAGATGGATTGAAGCCAGATCCCTCTAAGGTAGCTGCTATCAAGGATATGGAGCCTCCTTCCAATAAGTCAGAGCTTCAGACTATCATGGGTATGATCACTTACCTCTCAAAGTTTGCACCAAATCTTGCTAACATCACCAGCCCGTTACGTCAGCTGCTGCTGAAAGACTCGGAATTTATATGGGATACACCACAGGCCCAGGCATTCCAGAAGGTCAAGGACCTTATAACCAGAACACCTGGACCTCTGCTTACATACTTTGACCCGGGAAAACCAGTAGTGTTGGAGACTGACGCACACATCTCAGTTTGGGCTCGGAGCAACACTTTTGCAGGATGGCAAACCAGTTGCATTTGCTTCAAAGTCACTAACCCAAGCGGAAATCAAGTACGCCCAGATAGAAAAAGAGATGTTGTCTCCTATTTGGCTGCAAGAAATTTCACCAGTACCTATATGCTAGGGAAGTCCAGGTCCATGCAGACCACAAACCCCTAGTTGCCATTCACGCAAAGCCACTCGCACAGGCTCCAGCGAGGCTACAAAGGATGCTTTTGCAACTGCAGGCTTATGATCTGAAGTTGACGCACATCCCAGGCAAGGACATACCTATTGCTGATACACTTTCACGCAAGTTTTTGCCAGATACTTACCCACAGCTAACAGCAGGATGGACTTACATGTGCACACAGTTATGTCCAGTACAAGGATGAGTGATAGAAGATTAGAGGAAGTCAGATTAGCAACCCAAGCTGACCCACAGATGAAGATACTTATGAACATTATACATGATGGTTGGCCCAGAAACGCAAGAAATGTCCATCCCAAGCACTAGAGTATTGGAACCACAGGGATGAGTTGACAGAGATAGATGGCATTATATTTAAGGGTCACAAGATAATCATACCAAGAGACTTAAGACGCAGATGATGGAAGCTGTACCATAGGTCACATGGGTGTGGAAAAATGCTTAAGGAGAGCTAGAGACATTATATTTTGGCCCAGGATGTCAGCAGACATCACAAACATGGTTCTGGAATGTGGAGTTTGCTTAGAGAGAAGAAACTCGAACTCCAATGAGCCACCGATCAATCATGATATTCCAAGAGTACCCATCAGACAACATAGCTACAGATTTGTTCACATGGAACAACCAGGAGGACCTGTTGGTAGTTGATTACTACAGTAGATACTTTGAAGTAGAGAAACTACGAGACAACCAGTCAAGCTGTTATAGAGAAAATGAAGAAGATGTTTAGTAGGCTTGGTATTCCACGAAAAGTCGTATCGGATAATGGTCCACAATACGCAAGCCAAGATTTCTCCACATTTGCTCAGGATTATGACTTTAACCATGTCACTTCCAGTTCCCAAAATATCCACAGTCCAATGGACTAGCGGAAAAGACAGTACAGATTGCCAAAAGAATTTTGGACAAGAGCAAGGCAGATGGGGAATAACCTAGGGGCTACCCCCAGTACAGGACAACACCTTTGAGCCTTTGGCTACTCCCCCCCAACTATTGATGAGTCGCAAGTTGAGGTCCATACTTCCAGTAGTTCCAGATGAGCTGAAACCAAAGGTTCCCGTCAGAGTCAAGGAATTGATGGTAGCAAAAGAGAGAAACAGAAAGGATACTATGATCGCAGTGCTAAGCCTTTACCACCGCTTTCAGTAGGAGACAGTATAAAATTTCCCAAAAAGGGAAACTATGGAAACAAGGAATAGTCACCAAAGAAGAAGGAGACAGATCATACACAGTTAAAAGCACTGAGGGAGCAGTATACCGGAGAAATAGACGACACCTGATCAAGTCAAAAGAAAAGTTCGAGCCTGATGTATCAGATTCCAATATCGTCAATTTCGCAGAACCTTCTGCCTCACCTCCCATTCCAACTACAGCAACTAGTCTTCCGAATCCTGTTGAACCAATCTCCGAACCAGCTACTGAGGCTAAGCATGACTCCCCTGCTACATGTAATCCCACTCCTTATATTTCTCGTTATGGTAGGATTGTTAAGCCCAAAGTAATTGTGTCTATGTAGATGTTTAAGTAGGAGAATGGTCTTGTTAGGTCAAACATGTGTTTCAGATTTTGGTTTTTATTTTTTTGCATACATGTTATTCACTCAAAAGAAGGGAGATGTAATGTTATTATAATACGAATGTGTAAATGTACGAACTAAATGATGTACGAGTTACTTTTATGTGTGTCGTTGAATAAACGTTTCCTGTTTTGTACACACGTGTTGTCAGTTGTGAATCCGCATATCCAGCCAGGGAATCCACATTATAAGACTAATACAAAAACAATACAGACGGTACGGTTCGCTTCTTGCACGGAACGGTACGCTTTGTGGACGGTACGCTTTGGGAAACGGTATGCAAATGAAGTGGGCGGAGCCTGTTAGCTTTGGTCGTTGATTGGCTGCTAATTTTACAATTTTATTTCCGTTATTAAAGAATGTAATTTATTTATTATTCATATCAATTGAAGTATCGATGAGTTTCTATTTATTAGAGACGTTTAAATATTTTATTATATGTATGTTATTGTGTCGATCATAGTCTTGTATGCTATGTCTCGGTTTCAATTTTAAATATTAATTTACACTGCAGCAGTGATGGAGGAAATAAGAAAAAAATGAAAGGAAATAAACATCGTCCCACTGATCTTTTCCGCATTTGTAAATATTGATATATAGAAGGTAAATATTTCCGTGCGTAATTTTTTACGTATGCCGAGGCTGCGTTTTAAATAGAATAAATAAAAACATGTACATATAATTTTTTTTTTTCATTTTAAAATAAAGCTTTGACAGAACTGAATATATACTAAGTCTTGTTCTTTATATAATACTACACACGTATATAAATTATTTTTAATTGATTGATCTATAGAAAAAATATTTGCGCTAATATTTTTATTCTTAGTAGTAAGAAATGTACACTGTTTCTTTTTTTTAAATTGTAGATCTGTCGTTTAAACGTCTGCCTTAGAATAGAAATATCAGTAAACAAAAAACAAATTACATATTTACAGGGCATAGAAGACTTGTTTGTTTGTTTATTTTTCTTTTTTCTTATGTAAATCTTTAATTATTCTGAAAATCTTTGATTATTCTGAATTTAGATACGAAAATCGGCAGCAGAAACTCGGAATCAATAAAATGACTTCCGGGCGTTTTTTCTTGTAACAGAAAACATTTCTTTTCAGAAACTAGCATTATGTTTTCAAAAATCCTTTCAGTCTTAGTAATTATTTTAATAATTTTTTTCTTTATTTTAATAAGTAAATAAGTGTGTAAATACATGTACAATGATGTGAATGAGAGAGAGAGAGAGAGAGAGAGAGAGGCAACCCCTTGTTTCTTAATCTGTAAAAAGAAAATGCATTTATTCTCATTCTCCGTTTTATTTACATCGCCAAAGTCACATTTAATCTGTCTATGATGCTATTTAATTTCCCCAACTTTCGTTCAAACTCAACCTATTTACAACTATTGCGCAATGCATTCGTTCTCTGCACATGCACGAAATCCTTGTGCATCACTTGTCAGTCAAAATCGCATGACGCTAGGTGACCCTGAGAGTCTGTTTACGCGGAAAGAATTTCTCTTGTGATTTGAAACATTCTTATGGTCAGTTCACACCTGTTTAAAAAAACAGCCAGAGGGCCTGGGTGCCGTGTGTTTAACACACCTTTCAAATTATTTAGCTCTGACCACATCAAGTGTACATGCATTTTTTTAAAACTCACTCAAATGACATCCCGCGAAACTTATCTTCTAGGTTTCACCACAACACTGATCATAAATTTTCTTCCTAAAATATCCATTTCAGACGCAGTTAGATAAGCATGAATCCCTAAATTATCATTTTACTTTTTTAAAAAAATGTACAATAGCGTCACATAAATTCGCAGACTTTTGATGAGTTTTTTAGTAGCTAAATAGTATCGCCTTCTAGAAAGAGGGGGGGGGGGGGTTATCAAACATAATGTGGCTTGAAAGAGGATTGAGAAAAATCATTTTTTTTTTAATTTTCATTTTACTTTGTAAATTATCCTTTTCCAGACACAAATAAGCAGGTGTCCTGTAGGTTACCGGGTATGATTTTTTTTTTTTAAATTGACAACAACGTAACATTTTGCACACTTCTAAAGAACTTATAACCTGTTAATTCGTATCGTTTTCACGAAAGGGGATGGGGTACAGTGTAACAAACCTTATAATATCTATAATTTTTCGCAAATTGTTTTTTTTTTTTTTGGTATGCAGCTTGTAAGTTGATCACAATTTTATTAGTCAGATTATCATCTCTATCCGTTCAGTAGAAATCTTTCTGTTTACTGCATGTAATATTTTAATTCATATTTGACATAATTACCGATTTTCAGTGTAAGTCTAACTGCATTAATGATTCGCCGAGTAATTATCTAAACAAATTTAAAGTGCAAGTCTAATACGTTTTTTTTTACTCCAGACAGTTCATGTATGTTTTAAAATTCTTACAAAATTAATGATTAATTAGTAAAATCACGCATCTGATATGAACTACAGATTAATGCACACTTACGGCAAAAAGGATCACGTATCTGATTCAATAATTTAAATGGGCAAAATTAAAATATTAAGTAAAAAACCAGGGAATTAGTTTAAACATCTGTATAGTATAATTACGAATATTTAAGTACAACAAATATTTCAAAAAGAAGTTGATTTAATTTGCTCAAATAAAGAAAATGAAAATATTTATTATCAGATCCGTAATGGGGAACTGTGATACACCTTGTTACATGGTGTCCACGATCGCTGACATCAAGGATGCCGACATCGAGTTCGAGGTTCACGGTGCCACGTGTTTTGCGGGATAAACCCGTGGTCTGTAC